GCACCGGCGCTATCTCTGCGGTGCCAAAGTATGCGGCAGCGCTCGAGGGCATCCGAAAGGAGCGCGGCGTCGAGACGTCCTTCAAGCACGAGCTAATCAAGGTGGACGGGCCGAACAAGGTTACCTGGCGCGCCCTCAAGACAGACGCGTGAGCCTTCTCTGAATACCCTCACCTGTGAACATAGGTGGCCACCTTCCAGACGGACGAGGGCCCGGTCGAGCGCAGCTACGACCTGCTGCACGTAGTTCCCCTCATGGGTGCGCACGACTGGATCAAGGGGTCGAAGATTGCCGACCCCGACACTGGGTGTGCGTCCCCAGACGCGTCCGCGCGCCACCCACATTCCAATCCCCGCCCGGCTTGGCCCTGCAGGTACGTGACCGTCGACAAGGACACGCTGCAGCACACCGCCTACCCAAACGTCTTTGCGATCGGCGACTGCTCCAACACGCCCAACTCCAAGACGGCCGCCGCCGTGACCGCACAGGCGTGCCGCGATCTAGGATACAAATTCAATGATCCACGCTGACGGGGTCATTCCAATCGCTAGGCGCCCGTTGTGGTGCACAATATGCGCCGTGTGATGGCGGGGAAGGCGCCCAATGCGACCTACGACGGGTATGCATCGTGCCCCATCGTGACGGGTCGGGGCAAGCTGATCCTTGCCGAGTTCAAGTACGGGAACGAGCTCGCCGAGTCGCAGAGCTGGTGAAATATAGCCGAGGTGGTGGAGGAGAGGGAGAGTGGGAGTCGGCGTCGTGTCAGTCGTGAGCTTCTGCGGCCGTAGGTACCTGGACCAGGGCAAGGAACAGCTCCCCTTCTTCTACTTGAAGAAGTACGTGTTTCCGTTCGCCTACTGGCGCGGCTCGCACACCCCATGCAGAGACGTTCCCTCTCATGCCTTGAGCCCCACTCTATGCCTACAGGAACTTTATGCTGCCCGGCCGCTGGTATGGCACGCGCACCATTTTCGAGCCCTCCTTCCCCGACCCCGCCTGAGAGGCTGTTACAAATGGTGAGCTGGGGGACACAGCGTACTGTTGAGTGCATGTACGGAGGTGGGTGCTGTGAGAGGAGAGAAAGCAATTCGCGCGGTTTTGCAAGCAGCGCCCGGCGATGTAATTGGCGCGTAAACTTCTTTTTGTCGCTTCCGACGGGTTTTTCACGTGCGCAAGTTTGGGCTGCTCGGGTGCGCTCTTCGCTGCCCAAGTCGCCGGTTACTGATGCCCATCTCCGCCATCCCCAGCTCTCACACCGGTGCCGCGTTTTGGGTCCGTCTGCCATCGCCGTGCGACGCGGCCCCTGTAGTTTTGCACCGAACAGCTCAGCCGGCGCGGCCCCAGCCCGCTGCCATCGTGGCTCGGGCACGGCAGTCGATCCGTCACACCACATGCCCATTCCTGCGCAGGCGATGGGACTGAAGAAGCCAAGGCGGGGCGGAGCGCCGGGCACGCCGCTGCCGCTCAAGGTGCTGGCGGGCGGTGCAGCCACGCTGCTCTGCACCGCCGCGCTAGCCTTCCTCGCGATGCCATCGTCGGTGCAGCCGCCGCCGCCACAGGTGCGGGCGGCGCAGTCCTCCCTGCACGCGCTGAGCGCGCGCCGCATCGACGGCTCGCCGCTCGACCTCGCCACGCTTTCGGGCAAGGCGCGAGCAACACAGACACGCGCACATCAGCACACATCAATACACGCACACACGTGGAGAGCCCCCCTCCCCTCACCTGCCCCCCGGGCAGGCGGTCCTGATGGTCAACGTTGCCTCGAGCTGAGGGTCGACAGACAGCGCGTATCCTGCGAAGGGATTCTTCTTCTTCTGACTGGCGGTTCGCTATATAGGTCGACGGGGAGCGCGTACGCGCAGCTCAAGCGGTGGCACGCCGAGTTTGGTGCCGCCCTCGAAGTCCTCCTCTTCCCCTCGGACGAGTGGCGGCAGGAGCGAGCAGGTCCCGACCATCATTCATCACGACTGGATGACAGTTCTTCGTTGTTAATCAGGAGCTGCCGACGGAGCAGATCCCGGCAGCGGTGGCGTCGCACGGGCTGCCGGCTGAGGCGCCGGCCTGGTGGGCAAGGCCTCTGTGTGTGTGTGTGTGTGTGTGATTGATGATGACTGATTCATTAGGCGCCAGGCTGCCACCTGATGGATAAGGTGACTCGATTCGACACCCTCCCAAACTCTCGTGAAGAGACTTCCCAGACCCCCCCCCCCCCCCTCCCCCGCCGCCCCTCCTCACGCCCGCCCCACTCCAACAGGTGGAGGTCAACGGCCCGCGCGCGGACCCGCTCTTCGAGCTCGCCAAGCGCTCCTTCCCAGGCGACGTGACCTGGAACTTCGACGGCGCTTTCGTCTTTGGGGCCGACGGCGCGCCGCTCAGCCGCACGGCATCGTCCAGCAGAGTAGCACGGACACGCGACTTGATCTCTCCTCTTCTAGGTGCGCCGCTCGGCCGCTTCTCGCTGCGCAGCGCGGACCTCTCCTACGCGTCGTCGCTCGTGCGCAAGGCTGTGGCCACCGCACGCTAAGCCGCCACCGCCCCGTCCCACGCCGCCCGTTTGCCCGCCGGCGTGGCCACGCGCCACCCTTCGCCAACCCCCAGCACTGTCTCCCCTTTGGAGGGGCGGCCCCCGCAGCACGCGCTGGCGCCGTCTCCGCCGGCCAATGACGCGAGCCGCGCAAAGCCCACACCGAGGGCGTCGCGGCCGTCGCCGAGGACCGTGCCGGCATGACGGCGCGGAGCCTGCCCGGAGCGCCCGCTGCCGCGCTCAGGAAATTTTGCAACCTTGTAAACCGTAATTAGCAACCATCCCCGCCTGTACATGCACACCGCGCGCGATCTGGGGCGCACGTGTGCTCTCGGTAAACACCCAACTCCTGTCTGTCACTTGGCCTCGTACCACGTGGAGGCTGTGTTTGCGTCAACGACCAGATCGACGAGCAGCGAAGGCAAGTTCTCGTCGAAGGGCCGCTCCATGCACGCCACCACCTCGGCGCGCGCCTCGTCCGCGAGCTCCGCCGGCCCCTCGAACATCACCTCGTCGTGCACCTGCAGCAGGTTGCGGAAGCCCATCTCGCGCAGCTTCTCGGACCGCTGCAGCTTGATCATTGCGAGCGTCATGATGTCCGCCGCGCCGCCCTGGATGGGCGTGTTGATCGCGGCTCGCTCCATGTGCGCGCGCACGGCGCCGTTCCGCCCCTGGATGCCGGGCAGCGTGCGGTAGCGGCCGAGGAGGGTGCGCGTGGCGCCCGTCGCTCGCGCCGACGCGATGGTGTCCTTCTGCCACTGCAGCACCTCGGGCCGGTCCGCGTACCAGGCGCGCAGCATCTCCTTCGCCTCGTCGATCGAGACGCCCCAGTCCTTGGACAAGCCGTGCGCCGTCTTGCCGTACGCGATCGAGAAGTTGAGCGTCTTCGCGCGCCTCCGCTCCGACCCAAAGAGGTCCTTGAGCAGCGGCGCGGGAGGCTCGCCCTGCGAGTAGTCCCAGTCGAGCAGGCAGGTGCCGTCCTCCACGGCGCGGCGAACGTGGTCGAACATCCCCATCGCGGTGCGCGAGTGGAAGTCGCCCCCGAGCTTGAAGGCCTCGACCATCGAGGTGCACGCCGTCATGTGTGCGAGCAGCCGCAGCTCGAGCTGGCCGTAGTCTGCGACGACGAGGGCCTTGCCGGGGGCGGCGACGAAGGCGTCTCGGATGAGGTACTTGTCTTTCTCGAGCGCAGGCTGGTTCTGCAGGTTGGGGGTGCGGCTCGACAGGCGGCCGGTCTCGGTGTTGAGGTTGAGCGAGCAGTGGATGCGCGACGTGCCGTCGGCCAAGTCTTGCAGCGGAAGGATGAAGTTGGAGAGCATCGTGTCGATGGCGCCCATCTGGCAGAGCGCCTCGAGCGCACGGCACGCCTCCTCGCCGACCTCGCCCCCGCCGAACGCACCATACGCCGACCCGAACACGGGAGGGTCCTCGGACGGCCTGCCGGCGAGATGGCCCGAGATGGCCCGAGATGGCCCGAGATGGCCCGAGATGGCCCGAGATGGCCCGAGATGATCCGAGATGACCCGAGATGATCCGAGATGGCCCGAGATGTGCGGTGCGCGTGCGGCTTCCCGGACCTGCCCGCCAGCTCGCGCAGTGCGGCCGCGTCTGTCGCCGGCCAACCGCTCTTGGTGGTCTTAGCGTGCTCGAGCTGGAGGGAGGAGAGCTCGAACTCGACCTCCTTCCGGCCGCTGTCCACGATGACGCCCTCCAAGGACACGCCTCCAGCCTCCACCACCGCCGCCGTCGCTGCCGCCGCCGCCTCGCGCGCCGCCGCAGCCGTCGGCGCCGCCGCAGCCGTCGGCGCCGCCGCCGCCGCAACCGGCGCGGCGGGCGCGGCCGCGGGAGAAGTGGTCTCCGCTGCCGGCGTCGACGGGCGCGGTCCCACCGCCTCGCTGGTCGACACCGCCTCGCTGAGCCTCTGCCGCAAGTCCGCCTTGAGCCGGAGCCCCTTGCGAGAGACGCCGCGCGCGTCGAGCTCCTCCTTGAGCTCGGACACCTTAAGCTTGCCCAGCCGCTCCCCAGTCAGCGCCGCACCGCCGCCGCCGCCCGCCGCACGCACCGCCTCCTCCTCCGCCGCCCGCCCCACCCCCGCCGCCGCCGCAAGCCCCGCCGTTGCCCCCGCCGCCGCCTCCCTCGCCGCCGCCTCCCTCGCCGCCGCGCCCGCCTCCGCACCGTGCGCGTGGCCGGTCGCGCGCAGCCTCGCCACGTGGAGCTCCTATTCACAACCCTCCCCCGATGCTGGCTCTCGTGCTTTCTTGTCTTCCGCCCTGGCCGCGCGGAGCTCCTCAAAGGCAGCTCGCTCCAGCTTGAACGTGCGCCGCAGCGGCAGCACCTCGGCCGAATTTCGCCTTGTCGCGCCGCCGAAGAGCAGGGTCTGCACCTGCGTGGCGAATAGTATGGGGAGATGTGGGGAGATGCGGGGAGATGTGGGAGATGTGGGGAGATGTGGGGAGATATGAGCCGCCGGAGAGCAGGGTCGCACCTGCGTGCCCGAGCCGACGTTCATGTACCACGCTGCCTCAGTGTACCTCGCCGCCCACTTGCGAAACGTCAGCTCCGCCGCGTCGCGGTCGGCCTGGGCGCGCGTCTGCGCCAGCGGCAGCTTGGACCGCACGTCCACCATCACTCCGGCGCGCTCCATGTCGGTGAGCAGCTCGCCTGGGAGGGGGAGAGGCGCAGAGACGGCTCCGAGCCTCGGCTCCGAGGCGGCGGTGTGGGAAGCTCGGTGGGAAACTCGCCGAACGGCCGCCAATACTCGGTGTAAAAGTCGAAGAGCGAGCGAGTGCGCAGCCACTCCATGCGCGAGAGGCGCGCCTACGGGCAAGGGGCCCAGAGAAGGCTGCCCGCAAGGCTGCCCGCAAGGCCCGCTCCGAGCGGCGAGAGTGCGCGCGCCTCGAGCTCGCGGTAGAGCAGCCACGTGCCTAGGTCTCGTGCCCTCAGCTGTGAGACCTCTCTCCGCATCAAGACCTGCCGCTCGAGCGGCGGCGCGCCCTTGGCGTCGTACACGGCGTACTGCACCCAGTCCGGCCGCGTCAGCGGGGACGCCTAGGACATATGGGGAGATCTGGGGAGATCTGGGGAGATCTGGGGAGATCTGGGGGCCAGTCCGGCCGCGTCAGCGGCGACGCCTGCAGCGAGTCGAGCGGCGGCAGCTCGATGATCTTGCCCGGCGTGCCGTCCTTGCGCAGCTTTGGCTCGCCGAAGATCTCCTTCATCGACACCTTTGCCACGCCGACCAGCTCTTCGGTCAGCGGCAGGGACTCAACTCATACATGAATGGTTCACTGCCTCACCTTTGCCCGGCCGACCAGCTCTTCGGTCAGCGCGGCGAGCGAGTAGCCCGCGAGGCGGGACGCGTCCCACAGCCGCGCCATGTGCATCGTGTCGCCTCCGAAGCCGACGACGTCGACGCCGTGGTTGTACAGCACGTGCCTGTCAAAGCCATAGTTGTGCCAGACCTTGAGCGCAGACTCACGCTCAAGCCAGGGCTTGAAGGCCTCGAGCACGCCCGGCTCGGTCGTGTCGACGAAGAGGGCCTTCCCGGGCCCCGAGCCGACGTCCAGGTCGGGCCCCGAGTAGACGGTGATGCAGAGCACCCTCCCCTGCCCGAGCGGCGAGCGGCCGAGGTCGAGGTCCGCCACCTCGGTGTCGCAGGCGTGGATCAGCTCGTCGCGAGCACACAGGAGGGCGGCGACGCGGCGCGCCTCGGCGGCGTCGCTCACCTCGTGCACGCCGACCTCCTCCTGGTCGTGGAACCCCGGCGTGAAGTCGCCCACCGGACGAGCACGAGCCGCCTCAGCCGCCGGCGAGGCGGCGGCGGCGGCAGTCTCGCGTGCGGCTGCGGCGAGGCGAGCACCAGCGCCGTCAGTCACGCTGGAGGCGTCACTGGAGGCGCGTGCCTCGCGCGATAGCCCGCTCCACCCGACGTCGTTCGCACCCCTCGCCGTGGCCGCGGCGCTGGAGAGCCACCTGCCGTCCTCGGCTATCGCCCACGTGCGGCGCGCGCTCGCCGCCAGCCGCGAAGTGCGCGGCCGCGCGGCTCGCCCGACGAGAGCTAGGCCGCGCCAAGCGAGTCCAGGAGTCATCAGCAAGCACAAGAGGAGGGAGGTCGCTCGCAACACGAGGCCCCGGCTCGCCATGATGGCATTTTCCACGAAAGAAAGAAAATATACGTTGCACCAAGTGCTACGAGACCAGAACAAGGCGCTCTACCGGGGCCTGCTGTGCTACTGTACGGCTTAGGCGAAATGTTCCTCGCTGCGGCGCAAGACGAGGGCACCTTCGGCGAGTTCCCGTTCGAGGTGGCAGCGGCGGCGACCGCCCGGCTGCTCAAGCCTCAAGGTCAAGCACCACACGCGCTCCGGCGCGTGGGTCGAGATCACGCCGGGCAGCCCTAGCCAGGCCTCACGCGCTGGCCGCGACCGCGACCGCGGCTCTCGCTTGAGCCCGAACTGCCCCGTCAGACATGTCGGAATTGTCGGAGAAAGCGACTAGCACACCTCTGTCAAGAGTCCCCAGAAACCCCCCTTCTCTGTGTTCGTGCGTCGCCCATCTCTATTAAAATGAACTCGGGGGCACACGGGCGTGACGCGGCACGAACGGGGCACCCATCTCTCCTGGAGATGCCTGCTCTATTTATTTAGGGCAGGAGGATTTGGACGGACGGAAAAACACCCCCCTCTTATGCCTGACCCTGGCCATGGCCTCTCTGGGGGTGAGCTGGGCCGGCCGCCTCCGGGTCCGCCACTCGCACGGTGGGCTCGCGTCCGGGAGAGCATCCGAGACCCGCGGTTGTCCGCTCGCTGGGCGCGACCTACATGGAAATCCACTGCACACAGATCTGTGCTTTTGGCGCCTATTGCTCGCTCTCTGTGCAATCGCAACGCCAGAGGCCGTGCTTGGAGAGTGTGTCGCAGTGCTGCTACGTCAGTGGATTGAGCCGCGACGCAGGCTCCATCGGTGAGCTGCGGCGGCGCACCGGCCGCTCCATGCATGCTCTCCGGCGAGCCGTCGCAAACGCGTTTCCGTCCGCCCGTTTCATCGAGTTTGCCCGAGTGGTAAAATGCAATCGAATCTGCCCGAGTGGTCAAGTAAAACTTTGCCTTTCGTAAAAGTTGCCCGAGTGGTCGAGTGGTCAAGTAAAACTTTGCCTTTCGTAAAAGCTGCCCGAGTGGTCTGCGGGGAAAAAACGAAAATCGAGACGGACTTCTTGAACGGCCGGGCGACATGTCTTCCCTACTATTATTAATTGATGCTCTTTGCACGGCTGAGCCCCCCCCCCCCTCCCCCGCGCCCACTCCCTGCCCTCTCCCGCCACGCACTCCGTCAGAGCCCCCTCCCCTCTTGCACAACAGGAATTTTGACAATTAACAAGATGGACCGATGAGAACGATGGGCTTGCCCATCCCGGAGTGGTTCGATCCCACATGAATCCGAGACGGTGACGGGTGCGTCTCGGTGATCTCAGGCCCAGTGAGGTAGTGCATCAGACTATCCCGGATCCTGCTGACCAAGCTCCTCTTGTAGCTCGATCGGTCACACCGCCATCGCCGTCGGGGAGAGGGGGGACGACACTGCTTCGGCAGCGTGCACCTCGATCCTGTACCGTGTTTGTTATGACCCCCCCAATGAACATACCAGTGAGGGAGGGCGAGACGATCGAGGGGTCCCGTACCACGCGGAATCGGCCCTATCCAGTGCTCAAGTGCTCAAGGGCAGTGGTGCTGTTCCGCCAGTGTGAAGGGCTGGGTCCCGGGGTTGTGTTTTTGCGTGACTGTCTCTATCACATCGGAGCGAGGATGAGGTGCTGGCGCACATCCCAAGAAGCCCAACGGGATGTGCCCGCTCCACTATATGCCGCGCATTACACCACGTCAAAGGCGGTCGTCGATGCGATGCAGGTTCGGAATACATGACCCGGAGGGGCGCTGCAGGCGAAGAACAACTATGGCGAGACGCCTGGGGTGCGCGTTCTCCCAACCTCTTCGTCCGCGAGCTCTCAAGCCTCCGCCCCGTTCACTTTTTGTTATTCACAGGACATGGCGCAGAGCCAAGAGCAAATCGGCCGACGTGAAGGCGGTCTTCGCTTCTGCCGACCGCGACGGAGGCGCCGGCAGCAAGGCGCGAAAGGAGCGACGCGACAGCGGGAGATCGACTGGCAGTCTCTCCGACCGTGGACGCCTCGGAAGGCGCGGGAGCGTTGGCGACCAGGCCGTTGCGCACGCCATCACCTCCTCTCGTTCAAGCTTTGCTGGCGGCTCGAGACGATGGTCGTTCGACAGCCAGAGCAGTTGGCGCAGCTTTCGGAGGAAGGGGAGAAGATCGGCTACGAGGGAGCGACCGCTATCTCGCGGGCGAATCATCGCACCTACCCTTCACGTCCTCCCGCGAGATGTGAGGCGCACGAACACAGCTGTGAGCCCCTGCCGCATGCACAGCTACTCGAAATTGAGCTCGCGGATGCGCTCTCGAAGATTGCAAGCCTGGAGGCCAAGTTTGCGAGCCTTGAGGCCAAGGTCAACGGGGCGGCCTGAGTCCCAGTGCCCCGCGCCCCGCAGACGGCTGCCCCCCCCCCCCCCCGCCACCGCCACTTTTCGATCCGTCAAACTTGTGAGTGCGCGGGCTGTGAAATTCTTTTGGGGACGCATCCGACAGACCACACCTCCGCGCCGCGCGCGGTGTCCAGAGTCCGAGACTGTCGTGTTCTTCGACTTCTTCCATCCTATAAGCCGTATCTATCTGCGAGATGGAACATATTCTACGTATGCACATGCGCTAGAACCTAGATGAACTTCCCCTGCATAATTAGCATCGTGCTCACCACGATGACATAGCTGGGCACGACTATTCGACGGCCGACCCAGTCGAAGTCGATGTCCGCAGGCGGCTCCTCCGCTGCTTCCGCCAGACTCTCCGGCGACGGGCGTCGCTTCCGGAGAGAGAGCGCGGGCCCAACCCCGGCACTTGCACGCGCAGCCGCGAGCAGGTCGCTGGGCCCGCCGGTCTCGCGTCGCCTGGGAACGCCGTCGCGCTGCCCGCTCGGCTCCTCCTCGTCCGCCCCCTCGCGCTCCCTAAAATAGGGCTGGCCCTGCCCATTGCGCTCCCCCTGGCTGGTACTGCGCTCGATCCTCCGCATGCGGACGCGCCCGCGCCTCCAGCTTCTCCCTGCTCTCTGGATCCGCCGAGAAATGCTGCCGTTGAAGTCGAGGAAGCTGAAGAAGCACACTAGCGCCTGGTAGCTGACGTTGATTGTCATAAAGAGCTCGCTCCAGGTCACGTCGGACGTGTCTGGCATATCGACCGACACGCGCAGGGCGAGCGTGCAGAGCAGCGCCGTGACACCGAGGGCGATCGAATCCCCCGGCGCCGGGATCCAAAAGGCGATGAACCCCACTAGATTGAGTAGAATTGCCGGCACGATGAGGCGGAGCCACATCTTGAACGAGTGCCTCGTGAAGTGTAGCTTGTACAAAACGACATCGCGCCGCTCGTCGGCGTCGAGCGCTGTCGAGAACGATGCGTAGAAATTCGGATCCTCGTGGACCACATCGAAGCCGAGGCCGCCGTCCATGGAGACGGCAAGGTTGCTCACGGCGAGAGAGGCGGCGCAATCGTACTCGTCGAACGGGAAATGGCTGATGCCCTTCTCCGTGTGGCAGAGAAAAGTCGAGCGGAGGTAGTGCTCGACGGAAACCCGTCCTGACGGCATGACGACCGCTGGCACGCTCGAGAGCGTGTTGCGCGAATACTCGTTGAGGAAGAGGAACGGAGGCATCCAGATCTGGTCAAGCTGCAGCTCGATCGGGTCGGCGTGCTTGCGCATCGCCCACTCGAGCCGCGGGTCGACCCAAGAGAGGTGCAACCAGTAAACGAGCTCAAAGGTGCCGTCAAAGGGCGTGAAGTGCGTCACGCTCACGTTGCGGAGGCCGGTCTCGACGGACGTCCTTCCGACCGGCGGCACGCGAGGGTCATAGCTGCTCATCTGCTCTTCGAGCAGCAAACCGACGGGGTCGCTCGAGACGGTCGACGCGCTCGACCAGGACACGTCTACCGTCGCGCCTTCAACGTCAAACTCCGCCGCCACTGCGGCCGTCGAGCTGAGCCCTATATCCTGCACGGTTTGCACGAGCTGCTGCAGCGTGCGCCACATCCCCAGGTTGGGGTAGAAGACCATCTGGTCGACCGTCACGAGGATCTTGCGCGCCGATACGAGGTCTGGGAAGCTATTGTCCCAGCCGGTGGTGCCGAGCATGCTGTACTCCTCCTCTTGCAGCGTTTGCCTCGCCGCAGACAGCAGCGCGCGAGCGCTGTCGTCGTTGGGCGCGAGGATCACCTCCGGCAGCGGCTTGCTGGCAAAGTAAGGGGCCACTGCCTGGGTGGCGCCCTCCACGCTCGCGGAGATCGACCAGAGATCGCTGTATCCGACAGGACACGCCTCGGCAAAGCCAGCGAGGGTCGAGTCCACACGAAAGTCGAGGTCGGACCGGCCGGTGAGGTAGAACCTGGCCACCCTCAGACGGGTGGCTCCTCCCTTGAGCCGGCAGAGCTCGCGGCCCAAGGCGGCGCCTGCGTCGGGAGAAGCGGCGCCCTCGGGAGAGGCGTGCACGTACAGCACGTCGGCGGCGGCCAGGCTGTGCCTCGTGAGGTTGAGTCCCGAGCCGAAGGCTTCAATCGCCGCAACGCCGGTGCGCAGCATGTTGACGAGCGCATCCTCTGCTGCGCCGCCCGCGGGCACCGCGCCCGAGATGACGAGCGTCTGCCTCGGGCTGTCTGCGGCGGCGGCCGTGGCGTCACGCAGCGCCTTTTCGTGGAAAGCGTCGGAGTACTCTGCAAACTGGCCGGCATCGTAGGGCGAGCAGAGATGCTGGGAGCCCGGGAAGGACGCGACGCCCGCGGCGGCGAACTTGCTGTACCAACTGTCTGGGTCACCGCAGCGGCCGCCGATGAGGAGAATGCGAGTGAAATTGAGGACGGTTGCGCGCTCTGAGCTCGCACGACGGCGCGGTGCGTCCATTGAGGAGAATGACGAGTTCGAGGGGCGAGGGGGGCGGCCACGCGAGCGTCCACCCCGGTTCCGTCGTACGAACCGTCCCTTGGATGCGCAAAGGTAATATTTTCGCATATGCGGCGGGCTCTCTCTCGAGGTGGCTCGCCGTTTTCTTTATTTATTTATCTCGAGGTCTCGAGAATAAAACCACAAGCAAACGCGTTTTTTGTTGTCGCTTGGTCTGTGATCTCTCAATATGTTTAAATAATGGAGCCGGTTAAAGCCTGCACAAAGACCGCAGGGCGGGGACCTGTTCCTTTTTACCCATCTCCTAGTAGAGGTGTCCGTTTTATTTATTTACGGTTACTGACGATATGGCCTTGTGCGAAATTATGCCTAATTTTTCTTTTTTGTCTTGCCACTTGCGGCTTGAGACTTGTGCTGTTATGTATATGTAATGTTTTGTTCGTCGTACGCGCGTCCCGATCATCTCGTGACGTGCGGCATGGGTCGGACAATGTGCTGATCACTCGAGGCACGCCGGCTCTCTGCGGGTGGACTGAGAGCGGGCCCGCTCGAGGGCTTGCCGTGCCGACCTCCACCAGCCGGGGGACCTCCGGCCGGGGAGCCTTCGCGCGCCTCCCGCCTGGAGAGCGGCGTGCTTGCGCAGACTTGCGCGCTTCGGCCCAGTGCGGGGGCGCTCCGGTGCGCCGCGCTTACCACTGGCGCCCGCCGCCGCCGCCGCCGTAGAAGCCGCCGCCGCCACCCTGGGCGCCGTAGCCGCCGCCGTAGCCGCCGGGCGCGCCGCCGCCGTACCCGCCGCCGCCGCCGTAGCCGCCGCCGCCGCCGTACCCGCCGCCT